AGGATGTGCTATTACATGGATGCCATTTCCGCGCAAATACCCTGTTTGGCCAACGTGTCGAGCTGGATGCAACGGAAGTTTAGAGACATCTTAGCCGAAACATCTTATTCAAACGGCTTGTTTTATATATAGCACTCGCACAGCCTAACTGTGCTGCTTAAAGATCGACTTTGCCCCGGTTTGTGACCTGTTTTCCACGATCGCCTTGAGTCAGCTCGTGCAGAGGATCAAGGAACATTATTTTTTCATCTCCCGCACTCTGAAAATATCTATTTTGAGTATATACGGCCTTGCTGAGAATTTTTGACGTTCCATTTGCAAAGCCCCCCCCCCAAAAAAAATCGTTAGGGGAAGTGTAGCAACAGAGAATCGGTATTTGTGTTCGAAATGCCAAGGTACCCAATCCTTGGGGGGGGGCATTCACCGCACAAGTGAAGTGGAACGTGTATTTGTCTTTTTCTCCGGTGTTTTGCGACAAAAAAATAATGCGAAAAATTCTTTAAATGAACTCTGTATTCATCATGGACTTTGGAGACCTTTAATTGCGCATAGCTGGTATTTTGTTACAAAATGTGATCTCATTTGACACTATTCGCGCGAGGAAGACTGGAAAAATTTATAAGACCTGTTGATGTGGGACGTATGTGAACGGCGAGATACCAACATACGTTAACAATAACAGTTACGGCTGGAAATACGTCATGGTTCATGAGAATGGAAATCCTGCGAAAACTGCGCACTCGACAATTACAGCAACTTGACACTGAACCCGAGCGAACGGGTACAGTTTGTGAGCATAGTGCCCCTGTGGATTTTGGCTAACGGTGACCACACTATCAACGTGGACACCCAAAATGCCTTTTTTTATTCGGGGTGCGACGTGTAAGCTTTAAAAAAAAGCTTCATGATTTTGCTTCATTGTTGATTTTAAACAGCTATTTATTGCCATAGAGGGGCCTATCTCAGTTCATTCCCCACAAAACTCTATCTACCGCATACCTTTGACTGCAGGCGACACCAAAGTCTCTAAAAACAGCCCCAGGGTCACCCCCAGAGATGATATGCAATATTTTATGCCCTTTAGTGGATAGAGTCAATGCTTGGAGTAAAATGACACTCCGCGGAAACCGCAATAGCACTATCAAAATGTTCGAGTATTGTACAATTAGAGTGCAGGCATTCAAACAGCGCGGCTCATAAGCGGCCGTTTTATACAGAGCTCTTAGATGTCGTTCTGGCGAAGTGATTCTGTTTGGAGCTGAAAATTTCGAGTTTGAGGAAAGAATCAGGCGTTCACCGTTCTTGGGACAATGCGACAACAGTTATACAACCATGAACAATCAACGTGGCAGTTCGTTTTCCTTTCAGTCACAGCCGTGTGAAGGTTTTAATGTTCTTTCATCCATCAATGTGTATGCCGACGCTGCAACAGATATGCGTTGAGTACATTATTTGCCCACAAAACGAGCATTATGCCCACAAAACTATCAAACGTGTAGCCTTTGTAAATTCCGCTTGGCGTGGAGGAACCGTCAAATTAATGAACTGTAACTAATTTTTCCCCCCTCAATAAAGGATCTCCAGTGGCAAACTTACCAGTTCAAACACAGTACATTGATAACCTCAAACATGCTCATGTGAAATCACTATAGCTTTCAGTAGAAAAGTTTAAGGACGATGACCTGTCCTTAAACTTATAATTCCCTCACCACGTGCAGCGCGATTGGGCGCATGGGCGCACAAGGCATGCTTTCTGCACGTAACCATTAACATGATCCGGAGCTCTGCAATTTTGGGGCAGGAAGGAAGCCCACGTTAGGGGCCAAGTTGGGCTCAGTACCATTGTTAAGTGTGCATCCGTCGGCCAGCCCTTGTAAGGAAAAGTTCATGCACATAGAGGGTTTGCACGGCTGCCATGTTGCAGGCCAGTGTCTTTTGTTCCACGAGTATGCACAAAGGAGGTTACCCCGTGGAATCAAGAGCTGCTCTGAAAGATGGCTTACCGTGCAAAGCCTCTATTGCTGAGGCCGGATAGTCCTTTCCCCTTGCTTCACGGGCGCTACATGTCATAGCCATAGATGTCATAGCCACAGATGTCATAGCTACAGATGTCATAGCCACAGGTGCAGTGCTGCGAGGGCAGAAATCGTGGCCCGTGTCTACCATACTCTCCAGTATCACTAAAAGTTAGGACAAAAGAGGCTTCGGGGCGCGTGATATATTTGATCAGGCCTTGACCACAGTGTCCGTGGCATTAAATCTCGATCCTGTTTCATTTCTTGAAATGAAACGATTGTCATTACACCTCCGACAGGGGCTAGTCTGTGTAGGCCCCTTAGGATCATGGGAGTATTTAGCACATAAGGTCTAATAAAGAATTTAGTTTCAAGCGTTGACTTCCAGACTGGAGATAGTTACAAGTATACGATTCCATGCAGCGGAGACGGTGGATTTGGATGTTTTTACCTAGCTGTTGTAAAAATGAATCAAGGTGAAGAGGTCACTTACTGTGGGCTCTTAATAACTGAACTATACAAGAATATTGTAGAAGTTCTAGCTCTGTAGTGTCTGGTCTCGGTCCACGGGAACAGTTTTCTCCTGGATTGCCAGTTAACAACAGTGTCACTTCCGCCAACACCTGTCGACAAATTTCCCTATTAGCGCGCATTAACCCCCGGTAGCGAGGCCATCTGGAGCGAAATTACTAATAATCTTCCCAAAATATTTTCTCAATATTGTCTGGAATGCGCTGCGTTGGCGGACGGCAGCGCCTGTTCGAGTGTGGCCCAGGCCTTGTTTCGCTCTTTTTTTTTCTGCCTCTTCCCTTGGAAGAGCCCGCACGTTGTGGGCCATAATGGGTGAACGCACGCATTCGAAGTCAACATTTCAATAAGGAGACAATTAATCGACATTAAAGAACCATCTTGATGTGTCCATTGTGACTGAGCTGTATCATTTGGAGACATGTTATGCAGTGCCTTACCAGTGTTTTCCCTGAGGACGAATTTCTCGACGGTTGTGTGCGATCGAGACGGAATAACTGTGTACTTCTGTGCTTCGGAAAAGTCACTGTTGTATTATACGTATATACTAAAGAGTTACATTAACTCAGAACTTGTTTTATGAGCAGATTAAATGCATTTATTGATACAAAGTGGGTGACGGTCGTAGGCGATAGCGTCTCGTTGCCAATAGCCAAAATCTGAAGGGTTGTTCAGGAGCACGAAACGTATAGTGGTCAAAGATTACCCTTATTGAAGAACGTAGAATCATAATAAGGACGGCAGTCGGTTTCGTTTTGTTTTACCCAGTGCGAGTAAAACGACGCCATCAAAACTGGATCAGCTCATCCCGGAAGGAAGGTGTTGACACTTCAACCCACCTGTGAGGAACCCAAGGCTCACTTGGCCCGCTGTGGCCCGCCCCCAGCGGGTCCCGCTCTGCCGTCTGACCGGCTACCCAAACTGAACGCTTCTCCCACGGACTTGGGTTACGCCCCGCCGTCAACTGCCGCAATTTTCTTGGCGACTGGGGTCGGGATTCGGGAACGGCAGAACATTGACACGGCGTTTGCTTCTCTTTTGTATTTTCGCTTTTTTTAAATGTATAATAAACGATGGGGGGGAAAAGTACTTCCGCGTTTGGCCGGAGGGTGAGTGATGGCCCGGTGGGATCTGGGAACGTGTCGGTGGGACGGGAGCGTGCCGTCCCGGTGAAAGCACCACGCGGAGCGACCGCTTACCCACTACAGCAGCCTCAGGGCTCGGGCAGGGTCGGTAGGGTACACTCGGGTGCACCCGGTTGCCCCCGTGCAGGTAGGGGGAACGAGCGATAGCTGATCCGGGCGTCCCGGGGAGAAGCGAACCGCGCGACAGGTGCTTACGCCGCGGGAAGCTCCAGGGGGAGCTTCGTCGGCCCGGCTGTGCCCAAGCGACTTCCAAACAACTCGGCCAGTGGACCACACAGCCTAAACCAAACCATTACAGGACTGCTCGCCGGCCACCGTGTCATTCCCCCGAAGATGTTTGAATATTCCTTGTATGCGTTGCGCAAAAGTGACATGTATTTAGGCGAAAAGGGGGAAGAAAAAAATCGCGCTGTGGTATTTGCGATCCAAGGCCGTCTCTTCGAGCATAGTTACACTATCAGATTGTAACCTGCAGTTATTTGCTTGAACCTGGACGTATATCGTTTCACCCTAATGTACCTTTCCAGATTAGGGGAAAAAACCCAGCCCCTCAGAAATGGAATAATTGTATTTATTTTTAGATCATTACCGGTAGCTAATCAGAATATTTGTGTCAAAAGCATAAGCTGACGATAAGGTAAAGAATCGCCTCAGTGCACCCTGACACAAAACATACGAAATGGATGTTGGACTCTCAAAACTGAGACAAACAAAAACTCCGCACAAAATTCCACAGAGTTATCTGATGGGCGGGGCTAACTCGGAAAAGTCGATAGGTCATTTGTAAGACGTTTTTTTTTTCATTTTTAAGAATTTGAAACATTTCTCCTTCAATGTGTCTGAAGTCCAGATCTCCGGCTCACTATTAACACGGCCACTCCGGAAACTTAATGCCTTAGCGAAAGCCTTACCCGAGCAAGCGATCTACGAGTAGCCGTTGCTATGATACCAATACTAGCTTTCACCATCTCAAACAATGCAATCACTTTGTGTCGAAAACTTCTCTCCCGGACTTGCCTTGTTTCCAGCCGTATGCCTGATCGACAACGAGTTCTCAGACTCAAACAGCAATGTCCCTGGGCTCCACAAAAAAAAACTTAAATGGCACTTGACCCGCTCGCAGCTTGAGACACGACAGTCAAAATCAAAGCACACATTACTGCCACGGTGTACTATAATTGGAAATGTCTTCGGCTGCCACTGGGCCCACAGTTTGCTGGCCGGTAGCAATCTTATTCGCTGTCGGTAACAAGATTTGTGAGCTGTGTCTCTTTTGTTTCTTGGCTCTCATTTTCTGTTTTTGTGTCCCCAGGTTACACGGCGAACTACTGCGAGGGAGACTGCCCGTTTCCGCTGGACCTTAACTTCAACGCCACAAACCACGCCACGGTTCAGGCCATCCTTCACATGCACACGGGCACCTACCGCAACAACAACCGGCGACTGCCCAACCCGTGCTGCGTGCCGGCCACCTTGGAAGGGATCCACGTGCTGTACCTGGACGACCTCAACAACGTAGTTCTCAAGGAGTTCAGCGGCATGATCGCCACCAGCTGTGGCTGCCAGTGACGGGAGGGGACTGGGGACGAGAGATCGTTGGCCGGTGCTGTGTGAGGTGGCCCCCAAAGTGGCCACGAACCATCTCTACGTCTTGAACGAGTACGAGTCAGTGTGGTGCAACGCAACGAAAATTATGTACTTGTGAGTTCGAAAATGACGGTCTCTAGCTCATTTGGACTTGATTTAGGGTAGCTGTGTGTATGCTTGGGATTTAGAAGGTCGCCTAAACTTAAGGCCACCTGAACACACCGACTATATACATAGACGGGAGTGCCCCTTGGGATACTGCCAAGCAGACTTTGCCACCCAATCACAAACATTGGCCAAATTAGACAAAATTACCCATTTTTGGCTGTATGAATATTTGCGGCCACCTCCAATACCCCCAGACCCACGTCGCCTTCACTCGGTGCATGGCCACTGCCCAGAGTGGGCACATTATGATGGAATGGACGCAATCACTAAAGTCTTGTGGCGCCAGAAAGTTGAGGTCGTCAGAACATGCCGGTATGACAACCATGATGGTGTGTTGAACTGCTACAACAGGACAGTCAAGCGGCTTACTAAGGCCAGAGAAAACGCACTTTTTCGTAAGTGTAAGGCGTGCCTACACCGGTAGTGCCAGGAGGGCTTTCTTAGAAAGAGATGGAAAGCCGGACCAACCTTTATCTCCTACATCAGGCTGACAGAGAGATCAACTCCTCTTCTCACGACTGAAAGTTTTCCTACTCGTTTCCATGGTCCAGGTGGTTCAAAGTTCGGGTTTCACACCACCGAAAGCCATAATTATGGCTGTTTCTTCTAGGAAAAGAATACCTTTGCTTTTTTCCCGAAAGGTTGTTACGGGTGGGTTTTGTTGAAGATCCATGACGTGGTGCAAATGTAAATCCTTTTGACACCAGAGGTCTCATGTCAAAACAGTATTAATGATGGGAGACTTTGAGGTGCTTGGTAGCAACAAACATACCAGTCCTTTTACCCAGTTCCAAGCTTTCCCCGTTGTTCTGAGCATGCGTGCATGGTTCTGAGCACGCGCACTACCTTGAAAAAGGGCCGGTATGTCTGCTGCCACCAGCGTCTCAATGTCTTCCTCTGGATAAAGTGAAACTGAAGCAATCACGATACAATTCATTTCATGAGAATAAGGACATTACAGAGTGAGAGATCAAGGAAACCTTTAGCGTCTTGGAATAATGTCAGATTTTCAAGAAGATAGTTGACCATACAGCGAAGGACCTCAAAAAGGTCTTAGAATCCACTCGTGTGAACTCTAGCAAAGACATGTTTACGGGGCAAAACCTAGATGTTCTTCTTTTCTCCACTTGTTAACAGCAAATCTGAACAAAAGAAGAGACGGTTCAAACGTACATTTTAAATAGTTCGCGCTCCAAGACACTCTACTTTCTACAAAGTGACGGGTCCCCCTTTTTAGCTCATACCTGTCAGCTTTCAGTGGCCTGACAGGTGAGCGCAAGCGTCAGCGCCCGAAGCTAGCCTTCCCCTTCATATAAAAATCTACCAACCCGAAATGCGTTTGCGATCAACCCCCGGCTCCGTCAGCTAGATTTTGGAAGAGCACTTAAGGGAGAAATTCCCTCCCCGTTAAAGGCCAGCGGTTGACAGGCTGGGGTGACCGCGATCCGGTTGGTTATTGTTCCTGCTGGCAGCCTAACCTCGCCAGAAGCTAAGATCTAATGCTACCGCTGTACATGCAGCGAACGATGTTGACGCAGTCTTTGGTGTGACATGTAGCACATCTATCGAAAACAATAAAAAGGAAGTTTAAGGTACCTGGTGTATTGCGCATTCCGTGCCGATGAAAACCCCGTCTTGCTTCCTCTTTTAGAGTGATCAGAAATCCCACATGTGGAATATTGGCACCGTGACTCTCTTGCCGAGGCTTTTTTGTAATACATGGAGAATGAATGATGTAGTCGCTAAAATTCCACGCACAGTAAACGAACTCTATAACCAAATGCGTGTTGAACGCAGGTGCTGTTCCTTCTTGGCATTCTCTTGTTTTACCGGATTGCGATATTTTCTCTTCTTTCAGTTTTGTTTGGAGAGAGGCCGCTCTTCTGTGTTTTCATTTTTTTAGGTGCTTGAAAATTTTACTTTGCTTGAGCTGGGGTATGTCGAAAAGGGTTTTGATTGCAAATACCTCCCCCCCGGCACGGTAGAGTCACGAAATCACGTGAGGGCAAACGTCATTGCCACGTGGTTTTCGAAACTGTACGACACGAAGGGGCGGGGCAGGTTAAGGGGCGTCACTTTGAATGAATACATCTATCTCAAATTATCTTAACCCACTGTATGTTTACCTATTATCATAATTGCACTTTCTAAAGTGTTCACACATAACTTTTTCTTATATTTTGTTGATACAAATCAGTATTACGGGTGTATATTGGTAATAAGTGCGTTTTTTGTATTTACTTGTAAATACAGATAGTTAGAATAATATCGTGTACATAATTCGGTAACCTCATTCATTAATGTTTTTTTTTCATCTCATTTGAACGGTTTTTCCCAACACCTTTTTCTGCGATTTATTGAAAGGGGAAAGGGTGTTGCAGAAGGCACGAGGGAATGAAGCAACGGTTTGTCACTGCCTAATGGTGCATCGGCGTAGTGTTTGGTATAGAGTTCCATCGAGGATTCGATTGTACTTCACCGCCATCGTATTCAAGGGCACTGGAGACCACTGCATGTTTGTCCGAGAATCATGATGTAACTTCCGCGAACTTTCATTGGGTGGCATTTGTTCGCCCAGTGACCTATGCTCACACTTACGCATGCGCAAGACACGTGCATACCGAATGCACACGGTCTTGCAGAGCCTGAAAGTTGACCCCTGATGGCGCGCTTCCGGAACCCTTGGATAGGAAAAATAACGTGCAAGAATTTAGAAATTGTATTATTTTTCGTTCAGTAACTTCTTAAAAAAATCCAACTGGGAAAAGGGGCTTTGGAAAATACTTGCTATAAGTGTATCAACTTATGGAAACTGAAAATCACCTGACCTAAAGGAGCAATATTCTGCCAAAACTTGGCCCATTCATTCCAAAAATCTAAAATACATGAAGAACAGTGCAATGCGACAGTCTTGTACGCAGAAGAAAATTTGCGGTTGGAATTTTTATGGTAGTCTGTCGGTAAAAGCCGAAATAAAAACAGATCAAACTATTTTACACACTTTTATAATTTATAAGATAATAAAATTAAACAATATTCTACTTTTACAAAAGATTCTAATCTGATTATCGAACGTGATAGGATGATCCAATGCAAAATCCCCATGGCCAGACCGTGCGAAGGTTCCGGAAACTCGCTGCGTGACCTTTTACTTTCCCACAGTGCATTGCCGCGCCTGCGTTTCCTTCGCGAAATACCGCGAAAGCAGTTTGCCGTCATCAGTGCCATTGGAACGTGCAGTGAGTACAAGCGAAGTCAAGAGAAAGGACGGAGGGGGTTTTAAACTCCAGGTTGTCCAACCGGGATTTGACAGAAATGGTATGTAGTTCGTAGAAAAGAATTGAGAGCTATTATTAGACCACCAGTATTTAAATATTGGACAAAATTTGCTGGAAGGCTCCTCGGTTAAAGGCTTCTTATTTTTTGAACGTGTACATTTTGTATAACGCTCAGAATTAGCCTTAAATCAAAAAAGGGCCTGCGAGTGGCGGGAGCCTGTTTTTTATGTTAATGTCTTGTACACGTGTGCACAAACAAAACGGGACAAACTGTTGCAGGTAACCATAGATGTAACCTATAAAAGCTGCGTCTTCAGTGTCTCTGATCGGCAACAACACAGACATTAACCCCAATAGTCCTGAATCCTCCAATTTTAATATGATTTGGCACACACCCTGGGGAGTTAGGGTTAGTAGACGGCTTCATGACAGGGACGGATCTAGCTTTCAGGAAACGAGGGGTTGATGGGCGTATTGAAGGGATGCCCGGCTAAGGGGCTCCACCGGAAATCGACGTAATTGTTTAACTGTAGATAAATAGATGGACGGCGCAATCTTCGTCCAGGATTTTCTATTTGGTAGGCCTACTCACTCCCCGTCATTTCACTGGTAGATCCATTTAGTCCGTGGCTGAACGGGAGGTTGCAACCCTCTTCTCAATCTGCCTCTGTATGAAATGGCGGACATCGCTCTGCACATGCTGCCGCCATGGGCATGCAGAGCCTCGCACCGGTGGCTTGTATAATCGTGTCCGAATCGCTTTATCCAGTCGCATGGTATTAAAACTAACGCAGCACGTGCACAAATTACATAAGGAACATACTCAGGAGTCGCTGAACCTATGATTTATTGTGTGAAGCTGCCAGATGAAGGGCTCTGCATGCGCGCCTATATGGCGGCAGCTTGCAAAGAGCGAATTGGCGGCTGGCGTGCAGTCGGAATCTCAAAACCGGACAAAAATGATGGGAATGTCAGTGTTTCAAAGCTGGGTTTTTGTACCCGAAAGGCCACCATGACTAGTGCCTTTCTCCCCCCCCCATAAATTCGCTGTCCTACTTTAAATGCCCCCGGAATGCCATCAGGGAATGCAACAAGCGATAAGGCACAAGTTGAAAATGCCATTGTTAGTGAATGCGCCATTGTTGCGACGCACACCAGGAATGTTGCGCACTCCGTAACTGACAACTTCGTACTAATATTTTTTCCCCTGAAAACAATAGCAGAACCCCCCCTTTTTTACAATAGATTGGCATTTTAAAGGTATTCTGTTAGAACTCCGAGGTGAAGTGTATCTATAACGTGTACATAATAGTGTACATTAGCCTTTCTTATACGATTTCACAGAGTGTACAAAATAACTATAAATGAGGGAAGACGATGTTTAATTAATTTTTGTATTACAGTGAAACTGACATAGTGGATATCGTACTTAGCTCCTTTTAGTTCTGTCTGCATGAAGTATTCCACACGATTGTGCATGTATTCTAATTATTTGCGAGGGAACTTATTTATTGGAAATATAGAGCATGTAACATAAAGTGCGTGAAGTAAACTGTGTTCCACGGTGCAAATGTGTTGCCGTCAAAATGTGCTCGTCTTGCGTCAGCGCCATCGTTGGTGGCGTGTTGCTGTCGTTGTCGCTATTGACTGATCTTTGAGCTGAGTCCTTGTTCCATCCGTTACCATATCGCAGAAGCTATAAATGCCTGACTTCACCGAACGTGTGCCACTGAAACTAATAATTTTGGCCCCAGCCTTAAATTTGCCCACAGCAACGCTCTGTGCTTCTCCCCTCCGACTGTGGGCGTGGGGGGCTACCTCTGAACACTTTGACGACGGTGCATAGGCTATGTCAACTGGATTATACGCCATTTTGATCGGCAGCAAGTCTTACCAATCCACAGTCCTCCAATTTTAGTATCATTTTTTCACACACCCTATAAATATGCGGTTGGGGTTGATATTCAGCTCTTCTGAAGCGACAGCGGTACCCCCAGGACTGGCCTGGCGACATTGGGAAGCCGTCAGACTGTGACGGCAACCCGGCAATATTTATTTCGGCGCACCCGATTTGTTCCTGAGCTTATACCGAGAAAAGCATTCTGTCTGAAGAGCGCATGACCGACCAAGCGGAGCGACCAAGAGCTGAATGCAGCGCGGCGAGGGACCTGTTAGTATTCTGCCGCCCGCGGGGCTGGCCTGCCCACGCGAAAAGCCGACGCAAGAGAGAACCCACCCGTGAATTATTGAAACCCTGTACGTTAGTCATTAGCGAGATAAATACCACAATTGCCTCATTTGCGTACGGTGGTCTTCTTTAATGCGGAGTCGGCATTATGCGAGTTCTACGATGAACAAAACACAAATCAGAATAACGTCACTGAATGCCTTGCTCGCCCAACTCTTGCAGCAGCGTGATTTATCCCGTTGGCGCTGTTGCATGGCGAAAGTGGCCCGAGAAATCATTCAGGAGGGACACACTTTGAAAAATCTAACTCTAACATTATATCTTATTGGATCCCATTGCATGACTGCAACCTTGCCGGCCCGATACCAATCATTTAGACCCATCCTTCCTCCATGTTTGGACTTTGCCGAACCATCGTACCCGTGTGTTGTTATGGAAATAGCGGGTACAGCTGCAGTAGAGGGCGCCCTGACTGGCACAACCGCATACACGCCGGTGAGCCAGAATGAATTCCAATCAAATAAATGAACAAACCTTTACTCATCACTATGAAAAATAGAATTTAAATTCCAATTAACTGTTAATTCATTGCTTACCGTAATGTTTACTTGCCAGTTAGGCCCATCTAATTCTTTACTCTTTACGGCTTCGTAAACGAAGTTGATTTAAATAAGTGTTTCTCCCACTTATATTGGACCACTTATTCTCCAATTCCTGTCTTGATTTTCCAATGGATCATGCTTCAAAATGCTATGTTACTAGCTCTTGGCCAACTTGGATACGACATTTTTGGAAGGTGTTACAATGTAGGCAGACTCAGACAAAATGGCGGCATAAGTGAATGATGGAATGTCAAAGTAATGGTCGATAAGTATTTTTGTCTAACACCAAGTGACGCTTGTTTAACCAAGCGTCGCTTCACTTATTGCCAGCCTTCATATCACAAAATTAATGGCTGGAAGAAAACAATAATTAGGTCTAGCGTTCCTTGTCCAAATGCGCGAGTTCGGGAAAATAAATCCATGATCATTTCGCACGGACATTTGCAAAGACAATTGTTGTCCTGGTCAAAGCGAAATCTGACAAGGCACGCCTTGCTCATGCGCTGTCGATCTGTTACAAGTAAATGGGTAAGCAGCCCCTTGATACCCAGCCACCACAAACAGAAACGGCGAACTGACCAATGACCCCGTACTCGAAGCTCAAGATCAAAGTTAACGCCACGCAAGTGTCAGGAGCTGGAGAAAAAATCTCGTCCAGCTGATTATTATCTGGTGAACTATCAACTTAAATCTATCAACGATGAACGATCGATCAATCGATCGACAGAACGATCGACTGATTACCTACAAGCGGCAGTCCAGTCAACTGCTTTCACAACTTGTGATAGAGCCTGGAGGAATAAAAAAAATGACAAGACTTATTCAAATGCCATGGAACGCGGCTCCTACAGGACTGATATCCTTTTTACATAGTGCACACAAGAAACGTTTCCCATTATCAGAAAATACCGAGGGAGGGTAACGGGATGCCCTATTCGTGATCACCATCGTGAACGTTTACTGCCCCCATAGAGTGCACGTACTTTGTACACAATTACCAACGTCGCTGCTTCGTTAGGCTTCGCCGTTAATCGGCCACGGTTCATTAGTCTTTGATAGCGACATTTTTGACACATTCGACGGTGCCACAAAAGGTGGAACTTTGATGGCGAGAAAAGATGAAGGTCTGACGGCATGAGCGCGGCAAATGATAGCTGCCTTGACCCTTTGTACTTTGCATTGCATCATTAATTCGCCTAAACTCTCGAAGGCCCAGATCTGTTTTTGCAATTTTGCGTGTTAGTGTGGATTGTCAAAGACAGCATAAGAGACCCTTATAGACGACTTCAATGACCAGCGGTAGAAGCCTTCACTGCGGTTGTGTCCAATGAACGCGCGCATACGCAGTTCTCGTCTGGTTTGGTCTGCGACTTGTTCATGGTCTAATCATTACAGACATTGTATTGCCCAGAATGCGTGCGTTTCACAAAAAATGCGTGTCCAAGAGTTTGCAACGCGTTGGCCAATCACGATATGCGAAATCTATCAACCCAATGCGCGTTTGGAAAACTGAGGTCGACAAATTTCGCGTGTTGTGATTGGCCAATGCTTTGCAGACTCTTGGAGGCGCACTATTATGAATCGCCAGTGGCCTAGCTAGGATTTTACTAGTGGGGGAGGGGGCACAAAGAGGCACCGGCATCTTATGGGGGGGGGGGCACTAGCTTTCAGTGGTGTGGTTTTAGGGGGCAAGTTTTTGTTAGTCTTGTTTAATATCCATTCCTCCGGGTTTTTTTTGGGGGGGGGAGGGGTGGACCGGGAATTTGTGGGGGGCACGTGCCCCAGCCCCCCCCCCGGCTACGCCACTGTGAATCGCCTGGACTGGGTTTGGAATTTGTGAGGGACAATAACTCTGGCCAGGGCGAATCCAGATTCAATTTTTTTCTCGAGTGGGGAATGTTTTTTCATTTAACCTTCTATGGACTTCCTGGGGGTAGGGCTACATTACATTCGGTTTTTTTTTTATATGTTTCAGAAAGAAAAATTAAAAGAGAGAGGGAGGGGAGAAAAGGCTTATTTATATCTTAAAAGGGGCCCCTTGGGGGCGGGGGGCGGGCATGGACCCCAATGCGCCCCCCTTACCTGGATCCGCCTTTGAACTGAAGGTTTCAACCCCTATCTCTATGGCGTTTCAGTCCGTCGCGTTAGTGGGAAGGTCACATACTTCGTGAATTTAACCAACAAATGGCTCTGTTCGTCGGGCAGTGGGTTTGGACTTCACACAGAAGATGCACGTTCAACGGTTCATCGGCGTGGAACCGGTCGCACCAACAGAATTGTATTGCTAAAGGCCGATTCCAGATACGTCACCGCGGTCATGGCCGTACATCGGCCCGAGTGAAGTGCCGCTAACTTAAAAGTCTACATGTATTATGCACCCTCCAAATCTACCTCCCTTGGCCTTTGGCCATGCAGCCGAGCGAATCTTGGCGGGCATACTCATCTGAACACATTTGAAACTATGCGTCAAATGCGAAAAAAAATCCCGTAAGCTTCCAAGTGAAACTGCTTTTCAGCCGGCATTCGGGAAAGAACCTGAAATGTCTATGGCGTCGTGAGGATTTGAAATCCGTTTGACATTCCCTGCAGTGTGGACCAACACTACACTAGACCGTGCAGCGCGTCCTCCTCAGATGATCATGAATTACATATACAACTATACAAGAAATTCGGAAATATCTGGGACAGTTTTTCTATCCCTATTGGTCGAAACGCGTCGCGTGACCGTGCATTAACATTGATAATTGCTCGCCGAGAAGGAATAATGCCTGAAGTGATGATGCTCGGGTCTGATTGGTCAGGAGTCTGTATGCACGCAACGCGCCACGCACGCCAAGTTCATTGAAGGGGATTCTCTTGGACAACATTCAAAAGGAATATACCATAAAATGGGCAGGGGTGTTCGGAAAAATGCAAATGAAATTTTAGAACAAAATCGTTGGAAATCCATCATATGTTGACTACTTTTGACTCTCTGAATTAAAAAACAAAGGTAATGCTCGGCTCGGACATCAGACGCGTCCATTCTCCTGAGCCTGTCTTGAACGTACATTTAAGACCGGCCAAGCACATTTTTATTCCCTTAACAAAGACCACATTCAGAACGATTTCCAACTGGTTCCTTTTTAATAATTTATCACATAGGTCGTATCATATCCTTTCATATTGCAGCGTAAGACCTTCACCCGATTACATGTATCGAGGTATCATACATCCAAAGTATTTCATTTAAAATGGCCAGCACATTAAACTCTGTGAACATTTCAACCATTAAAACAAAATTCGTCACGAACTGAACGGTGCCATTTCATAGAAAAATTTAAAATATGCCCACAATGCACCATCAAGTGCTTGACAGGAAGAGGCCATTTTTTTTCAACTCAGGGGTTCAACAGCAAACCCTCGATGGTTCAAACCTTCTGTTGCTGAAAATAATGCCAGAGGCACTGAACTAGAAACAAATATGAGCTTAAAACCAAATTCGGGCAAGCAGTTAGTAAATTAACGAAATTTCTGGTCACTTATATCAACTCTTTGCTGAAATGTAAAATCTAAAGTTTACTTAAGACAAATAACTTGGTTTCATGTAATTAGGCCAAGTTCATTTGTAACTGGAAAACATCAAAGGAACAAACTGTTCAAAACAATTAACAGTGAATATTGAAAATCATTTCAATTTTGGAGCCCATTTTGTAGAAAAAGTGGTCCGCAACAATTTTCTTTCAGAAATGAATGGAATGCGGAATGATTATAAGCCCACTTGCTAATGCTAAAACCTTACATGAATTCTAACATGCTACAGCTTAAGTGTTTCAGAACACGGAAACCAAAACCTCGAATTTGACCCTCTTTCCTAATCACAGAATTTGCTTGAATCTGTAAATTAAGCCAATGTCAGCAGTATTGGTGCATGTATTTATGTCTTGTAAAATATAAACCCTTGGAGGCATGTCTCCTTGCAACTACATGCAGGTCTCATTCTCTCCTACACTTGAAAGTTACTTGCAAAGTCACGAGGTAAATTATTTTCTCAATTCTGAACAATTCACAAGACAAATTAGTATTCTGCCAAATGTAATCCCGCGGTGATGTAGTGCTCATGAAAAAATACTGCAATGAAACTATGTTGTAAACTTCTACAATGAAGCTGTTTTGGTCTTTAAACATGTGAGAAATACACTACTGAAGTCCTCTCTGATGTGGCTCAGACAAAAAGAAGCATGCTAAGTAACAGTGTCAAGGAGCTTTTCATAAAAGACTCAGAAATGGTCTGCGTCCAGTAGAGTTTTTCTTTGAAAAATTGTTTCAGTGAAAGACTAAGAGGTAAGAAAAACAGAAACACTGTGATGTCAATCCTCTGAGTAAGCCTTTCCAATGAACCTTCCTTGTCAACTCAAAAGGCAATGCACTGACTTGATAAATAATTAACATGTAACTAAGCGAATCCATATGACGTGTAGTGACAAGAGTGCAAGCTAAGAACCTTTCTTCAAAGGTTTTCTGAAGACCACACGGAAAAGGACAATACACAGACTATATTAACCCAGTTAACTTCCTTGGCAATTTTGCTAAATGCCTCGCTAAATGGAAAGCATCAACCCACAAGAATGTAACTTCATGGTGGCTGGGCACAACCATTCTTTATCCAAAAAATCTCAGAATCTTCTGCTGGATTTTGAAGGGTCCGGGAATAGACAGACAAAGACTGAGAGTCTTAAGTTCCAGTCTTTAGTCAAGGTAATCACAGCAAAAATTCTAAACCATGTGAGTGGCATATGTGGTGCTTGAACCAGAGACTATAGCGAGGGATATTCGCAGCCTGCTGCAGCCGCCAGCGGTGTATCAAATTGTGTACTAGTCTCTTCTCAAGTGCCATGCGTGAAGTGCACAGACTTAATCCAATGATTGCTGCAATAGCCTTGACTGTCCATTACCTGAGTCCTGAAGAAGTTTAGGACAATGTCGAAGGCAGGACAAGGGCACAAATCTTGGCACCCGGATGACACTGCTCTGCCCCCCCCCAACACACCACACCGTCATTGTATGACGGGCCGTGTCTTGGCGGCCATCCCTTTGGCTTTGGCCTTCGCACTGTCCCTGAGCCTGGCCATGTCAACCGGGAAACCTTCTGTTGGCGGCCTGTCCGGCACAAACATGTTCTCAAGGACGTAGTGGAGCCCCTTGGTGGCCTTCGTCTGGTTGGCTTTGTACCGCTCCATGCCGAAGTGCTGGATTGCCAAGGCCATGCCCTTGACGCTAGAGTCCACCCACGAGTGTTTCTCTAGATGCGTCCAGTCTTTGTTCTCCGGGGCAGGCCTGAAGATTAGCTTCTCCGTTACCACCTGGAGTGGCCAATTTGAAATTGAGAAGATATTAATTTAAATTCTGTATAAATTATTATAAGCCCTAAGAAAGCATTTAGAGATGGGTCAGGATGACTGGCCAGCATCCAGTCCTTATTCAGGTCTGTTTAATGCACTTACGCACAACTGTACACCTAAAACCTCTTGATAAGTGCACGTAATTGCACATCTTAATCCCTCTCCAATGCATGCCTCAGCACAGAATTCTAGCATAAACAGACTTCAAAGTCTGTGTAAAGTCCTAAGCCCCCAAAAATTCCAGGCGTGCTTTTTGATGAAGTTGCAATTTTCATATCAGGACTCGTACAGTGCCTATGACGGCAGGCTGTCCAACAAATGTCTGTGTGTGAGGAAGCTAACTTGCGTCATGCTCATTTTATTTTCCCAGGAAAAATGAAGTTCGGCTTGTCTGGAGTTTGAATCGACAGCTCTGACCCTTTGCTGCTTGGATAACATCCCTGGAATGGTCCTAAAAAACGAATACATACACTCCAAATCTATGTGTAACAGTCAAAATGATCAAACAAAAACACAACATCAAGGAAAACGTGTACAACTGAGGGATGAACTAATGCACACTTTTTTGCACAGAAAACTTTTAAAAACTTAAAAACATGCCAACCCTGAACGAAGGCGACTCACCATAAGTCTAGTAAACCCTATATTCCGTGTGTAGATGGTGAAGGTCTTTTTCACAGGGTCGACTATCGACTCCTCAACGATGCACACCTGTCGGGCGTGGTTCCCGAAGATGTAGTTACCCCACCTGGGCAGCCGGTTGGTCTTTGTCAAGAGGCGCCTGGTGACCAGTTCAGTCCCCCTGAGAACCCTGCTGATGACGTCTTCTGTCAGCACATGCTTGCTGTACCGTCGTTAGAAACAAGAGGATCATATCAGTTACAGTCTACCCTGATGTTAACGAAAATGGGTCGTGGTAACGATGATGGTGATGAACATATAAAGAATGTTAGGATTGTTCCTGTGGACCTGACCAGAAATATACAAAGAATTTTGATGGAAATTTCGAGGACTTGTAAAAAAAAGATCTGTGCTATTTCCTTTGTTGTCCAGGGTAGCTAAGAACCTTGCATGTTAGCCGGAAGACGGTGAATATTGTACGGACTCATCACAGCAGTTGACAATGAGGGCAAATACGGTGACAGCAATGCTGGTGATAAACCAACACACAATCTTCTTTAAAGTGACGGCGAATAAGAAAAATTCATGATTGAAAGCAGGTCTGAGCCAAATACGGTGGTTCGAGACAGAACTCACCTATACGGATTTGGATACTTCTGCCACAGTGCGGTGGCAACGTGGTCCCAGGTGTGTCTGAACAATTCAACGGTGGTGAAGTACTTCATCTTGAAGCCGGAGAGCGCAATCCCTGTAATATTGTCGATAAGTCAGACTGCGCTGAATGCTATACTAATGAACATTGCAAATCATGACATACTTTTGAAATCTCCCATAATCCATCGTTCCTGTGCTGGTGCTTTCAGATTTTCAAATACAACACACATACCCACCTCAGTCACAAACTCTAATTGGTAATTATGGAGTTACTTTGACCATGTTGACTCTGTCACTGTACTTGACAATTTATTCTAACCAGCACTGCGGGAGAGGTTGGATTAAACATTATCATTTTTAATGACATTAATTTAGCTTTACGTCTGGGATGTTAATTTTAAATACTACAACTAGATTTTGTCCCCGCAAACGCAGCGGTTGAGGGGGTCAAGTCAAGACCTAAAGACATTTGCATTAGTGAGCACAAAGTTGTGAGTTTGAACCCCATCAAAGTCAGCTTGTGATTTTCATTGTAAATCTCCGATTACACTGAGAATACAGTGTGAATATATGCCTTGCAAGCACCACTGAAAGGATAGTAGGAGCAGGCCTAAATATAGTAGGCCTAGTCAAAGTCATTTGGACCCTAAAATCGCCTTTTTTAACATTTGGACATGGTTAAAAATAGGTGATTTCAGGATCCAAGTTACTCAAACTAGCCTAAATGTAGGCCATATAATTTTAATTGAACCAAATAGCGCCATCATACATGTGCAGATCGACATGGCAGATGTTGTATTAAGCATGATTGGCTGATCTACAGATCTAATGCCTGTGACCATATACTGCCATACTGGTATAGTCGGCAGGTCCCAAATTTTGCCACGTAATCACACTTGACATTAGGCCTACCATGATTACAGGATGAGACATAACCGTCACACATGACTCACACTCGCAGTGCAGTCAGACCATCCTGCTGCAGACGTTAGTTCCGTTACTGGTATAGTAATACTACATTATACTCAACTGATGAACTGCAGAATACCCCGCCACCCCGCATGATCAACCTCTTAGTTCTTACACACGTTATACACACATGATACATGCTAAATGCTATACTCGTCTGCCAATGCCGCCGTACCGATGCAGCATTTCGGTAGCCGGCCACATCGAGATTTAGCAGACTGTCGGTGCAGTGCGGTGCCAGAGAATGAGATCTTACAACTGACATTAACTGTAATTTTGACCTCAAAATAGAAACCAAAATAGCTCGATGAATACACACCTCGAATCAAAGATGAGTTTCTAAAATTTGTAAATCATTCCAACGTCAAATTGTCCTTTCTTTAAAAGAAAAAGTAACACATTCCCCACCAAAGGTGTACAGAAAGAACGTGTAATTTTGCACGTTTCCCTTCCGACATGCAACCTTGCTTCCAGGTTGCGTTATTGACATCACTAATGCAATGCAGGGTGTTTTGTTCCTACCTCTGCATACAAGGTTGTCATCAGTATTTAACATTTCCTGTCTGGTTCCTTACCTATTCAATAGTATTTTTAATAGCAATTTTATCCACCGATCGCTTTACCATACCAATCTTAAAATAAACTCGTAAACAGTCTTCCAAAAGGAGGACTTTCTTCTGCTCGCCGCATGTGTACCTTGAAGATGACAAGCCGGAGACCAACTCGTAGAGGAAGAGTGATAACTTAATGAATAATAATTCACAACTGATTTAATCACAGGTCAACCCGAAGAAGCTTTTTGGTACATGTACATGTATCTTTACCATGAAATTAGGGTATTTAGAGGCCACTCTATATTTTGTTGTTTGGTTCCCAGAAGTCTTTGCCATTGTGTATTGTATTGTAAATTATTGGAGTACCGGCGTATAATCTTTCCGGGCCCAAATTTAAAGCGCGCGACAGTGGCGGTGTTTACAAACGTGGGAATGAACGACGGATCTGTTGCTATTTTCTGGATCACCTGATCAATGATCTGATAATAACGATGTGTCCCGTGTGGACTCCTCTGACCCTGCCTCCCAGTCCAGATGAGGTCCAGGCTTTGTCAGATGATGCAAGGACGATTTTGAAAGCTCTTCGCGAAGCGCACAGAAAGAAGCGAGAAGCACTCCTGCAGAGTCGCGCCCCACCGGGTCAGCGCTGCAGCATGTCTGCCATGTTTAGTGTCTGGTTATGTTTGGCGTGATCGGGTGATATGCGTGATCGGGTGATATGCGCGATCGCTCGATCTGTGCGCGATTGATTGTTCTTATTGCACGATTTGTCAATAATTCCGACATCAGCAAATTGCTCTTTCCCTCTTATTTAAGGTTGTGAAAGAATGTTTCAAAATGTTTCAAAAAAAAGGGAAGGGAAGTTGGAGATTTCATACACTGACGCCGCGTGGAGCAATCAACATGATCTGGCAATTGTGCAAATCGGCTGATGGCGCCAAACATTTATATTCTCTTCAATCAGTTGTTACCTATGTTAGGCCTACCATGCTATGGGCATAGTTAAATCTGGGATTTCCAAGTAATGGTTTCTATGAGATTTGAAGCTTTCGTGGTGGAGGTAGCAAGTAAACTAGATAGGTTTGTGGTAGCACCATGGTTTTTGGTTCTGAAAAGGATCAGAAATGGTTTCTACATGAACATAGTAGCCCCTATTAGGGCCAGTCTGATGGGTTGCCTCTCTAATCACCCGTCAGAACAGACTGGCACTAATCTTTAAAACATTTCCGGAGAGAGTTTGATATATGGACAACACTTGATGCCCCTGTGCACACACCTACATGTATGAGATTTGTCTGAAAAAACTTGTGTTTTCTAAGTAAATGCTTTGGAAGTTTCTCAGCTAGCCTAAATTTCACTTTTTTGGACATGTTATCACTCTCTGATGGCTGTTATAACATTTTAAGGATAAAGTAGCGTCCGTAAATGGCTCTTCCACATTTTCTTTTTAGAAGTAACTTTTGCAAAGTAACAATTTGTTTATAATTTTGAGACTTTTTTCCAGTCGAGATAGCTGACACTGAAAATCGGCTGAAAAATAGACCTTTTAAAGAGTTTTGACCACTTTACTGGAATGATCAGTTATGCAACATCATGGGCATGATTGGGGGATATGTGCGATCGCTCGATCTATGCTCGTGATCAGTTTATCTTATTGCACAGTGTGTTAATAATTTTGCATTTAAGAAAGATTCTCCTAGGATTGAAATGTCAGGCCCTCCTTCTTTTGTTGTCCTTTAAAAGCATCATTTATAACCTGTCTTGATTCTGTTTGTCTGAATTGCAGATCCCAAAACGTACTACAGGGCTCTGTATAGGGAGAGCTTTAAGGAAGAAACACCCTGTCTGAACCAAGAGAACTCTTCTGGTGAGCTTCAAGCTCCTGGGAATTATGTAGTCTCAGTGCTGGGGCAAAGATCTACAGATGAAAGTTCTCCTCGGGTTTCCTGTAGGCAAGATGTGCTTCATCGTGAGCAGAGTCAGGGGTCTAAACCATCCAGTAGTGGCGTGGGAAAAGATTCCCATCGGTTTCCTACAGCGGCCTCCCAAGATGATGTCGGGTCCTGGGATTTTGTCTCCGAGCCTTTCCCCCAATACTCTGCAGTAGTCTTTTGTCAGGATGTCTCCAAGACAAGCAGAGCAGATAAAGCCGAGTCGTACTGCGGTACTAGGGTTAGGCATCCTGTTAATGCATCCTCCAACAGTCATCAAGCTGGGTTGAGTCAGGGAAGTCCAAGCAGGCTGCAGGAGGCCATAGAACTAGGGTCCTGCATCCTCCCGGACAGCCCCCCTATCGACACCAGGTGCTACCAAGAATTCAATAAAACCCGTCAGAATTTACCCAGCCCCAACCTCGATGCCAACCCTGCTGAACAAGGCAGAGGCTCAGACGTAGCCAAATTCAGGAAGACACCGTTAGAAGATTTCCCCAATGATAGGGCCTGGCAGATGTCCCCTGATACTGTTGAAGTGAAGAGGCCGCGACTCGGCCTAGGGAATGTCAGAGACAGTGTTGTTATCATGAAGCAGGTGCCAGTAGGAACAACCCCCTCAGGAGCTTCATCTGATGCAGGCCGGCCTCTTCCGCAAGAGAGCTGCAGCCCAAGAAGAGTACATCTGGTGGGAGACAGTGTAGGAGAAGTAGGGGTGACTTGGGTCCCTTTTGATCAAAGAAAAAAAGCAGGAACTGGACTTTCTGCAGGGTGCAAATCAAATAGCACTTCTGTTCTCGGAAGGTACATTGAAGAATTAGGAATTAAAAGTTCTAAAGATTATTTTGGTCTTTTAAAGGCTGAGCCATTAGAAAGAATAGTTTAAATTGTTCTCGTCTTTGACTTTAATTTGCCATGAATTTCAGAGGATTAAGAACTTTCAGGTTTACATGTATAAAGGCTATTTAAGGAGGCCAGTCGTCTTTTCCGGTTTCGTGTGATACACGTGCTTGCTTTTTTTTTCTTCAGTCATTCTTGCTCGGATGTGAAGGTGGGCAGTCGGTCTCATCATGGTTTACCAGCACAGCCAAAGGGTAAGCAGGCTTCAAAAGTCAATTCTGAACTTTTACATTCCCAATATTACTTTGTCCTCTGCTTAAAAGTGTTGTCTATTTTTGTAACAAATATTAAGCATGTGAAGCATCATATCGTCAGACTCTGGTCTAATTTTAAAACAGGGAGACTCGCCGTACAAGTTTTAAAAAGAAAGTTCATTTCACTGTTGGAGTTACAATCAAGTGAACTTAGAGCTTTTGCCATTGATGTCGTGTACTTTATTTTGAAATCACTTACAGTGAGTGACTCCTCAACTTCACGGACGAACGAAGTTTTGTCGGGGGCTCAGATGTGCAATAGAAAAGCTGACCAGCCAACTGTTGATGAAGTACGTGTGGTTGAAGGGGTCAGTTAATCATCTAATAAGAGTAAAGTTCAAAGGATCGTTGATTTCCATTGGTCTTCAATTTAGCTGCTTACTTATTGCTTACTTTTTCTGTATCAGATGAAATTCTGCTTTGCAAGTGTGTGCTGAAAATATAAAAGCTTTACTAAGATAAAGTCATCTTTTTCTCTCCGAGGTCGAATTATTTTCACACTGAAAAAAAACCCAGCTTTCTTAAATCAGAATATTTGTCTCTAAACATGGCCCACATTTAGGCCATGTCTGAAAATTACTTGTCTGCGCGTCTCCGCACGTTTCAATGGAATGAAGACGTAGACCTAGCTCTAGACACCAGATTTGGATTCAGGATGAGGTGACAACTCATCTACGTCCTTTTTGTCTAGTTCTTCGGCTTCTCTGGCAGTGCTTTGCACGGAAATGAAGGGCTTATCAGGAATGTTGCCAGCATGACGCCTGCAGCGAGAGAGGAGGTTGGCGACAGGCTGAGCAGAGTAGACGAAGTGTCCATGTGCCTCGTGTACAAGGATGGGTCCTCGCAGCTCAGGGAACCAGACCATGCCAACAGTGTGAGTTTGTCCCTGCCTAGCCTCTTTTCAAGCCTTGCTTGAGAATATGGCCCTTTATGTCCACAAGGTATTGTGAACTGTGCGTATTATTAGAGGTCAGAACGGACCAAAAATTGTAAGTCTTTTGACCTGGTGAAAATAATCCAAATTGAAAAGCAAACATTTGCTTTGAAGTTTTAGTAATACCAGTGCTGAGCAAAGGTGGCCTGTGAAGCACTGACTGCTGTCCACTACAGATGACAAACTACATGTGCTAGCAGACAGAACTTTTTCAAGATGT